TTTTTTTTTTTTTTTACGTGGAGGAAATCTTCGATAAAACCTCCACGATGGCCGTCTTCCGCACGTTGGGAGAGCTCTCTTCGTGCTGTTGTCTTAAAGGACAATATCTTTTTTTCCCGCTCGAATAGGGGTTCGAACCCTGGACCCTCAGATTAAGAGGCTCTGATGCTTTACCGACTGAGCCATCTCCACCTCTATTTATCTTTGTATTTGGGACAAGCTGTTAATATGTGTTCAATGAGTAGATTGCACGTGTCACAGACATATTTGGCTCTGCGTCTTTCGTTTTGTTCCTTCACTTTCGTTACCTGACTTTTTAGCCGTGATGATATCAGTGGACAGTTAGATCGTGTGTACCTGCAATGCGCGACGGAAAAAACTATAGCAGGTCTCATTCGGGCTCGATAGGCTGCTGGTTGACGGTGATGGACTGAATATCGGGTCGATCCAATAGCTCTTGCTTTTGCATTTTCGTTCGCTGTTCCTGAAACAAGAATCCCATTAGAGGTAATTATCGAGGCCAGACGCGTTCGCTTTGTAAAGCGGAAGTAGAAAGGTAGACGATAGGGCAGACGATGGAAGGGCAATTTTCCGAACATTACCGATTCACTCTATTTTGAGACACGTATTAGGTTTGAATATCTGTCAGCTTGTTTTCTGGATTGTTATTGGAATGATTATGCTATGTTACCTTTTGGAAGACGAAGACAGGAATCTCTGAGCGTTCTGATTGCAGTGTAAATCGGTGGTATGCGGCACGTTGGAACGTTTCGATCTATTCGACACCGAGTTCACGCAGTAGGCTTTGGGCCACGGTACCAACACATCCTGAGACTCAAACTGGAAACGAAAAAAAGGGATGAAACTTTTTTTTTTATTTATGAATAAATAAACAGTAGCGTCTGTTATCTATTTTTACCTATTTTTAATATTTATTTATCTACACGTACGTTCACTGCTATTTTTAATTACATTTCTAGAGAAGCTACTGTTTGAAGTGACTAAAATAAAATTTACACGGGGTGAAATCTCGGCCCTTTAAAGGTGAAATTTATTCTAAAACTTCTGACAAA